TTTAACCAGCAAGAGGCAAAGCTAAAACAAATCATGATGAAAAAAATCCCTTTTCTACACTTCAGGAAGGTTGGGTGCGTTAACTTTGAGTTTTCATGGCTCCTTGTAAAACCTTTGTTCTGATCAGTTCATGATCAGCATTCAGACAGTCGTACCAAACCACTTAAGCCACACGATGAACCAAAGTTTTTTCCATCTTTGCTATTCAAAAAGCAGTCCTGAGACATAATAAACGTCTCGCTTGTGAACGACTTCTTCCTGTACTTGTAATTGTTTCCAACGCGATACAAGTTCGGGAGATCTAAAGGAACTCATTATAACTTTTTATATTCGATACGATTTCAATTTCCGCGTCAAAGGAGAAGCCTACTGTAATTCGTGAGTGGTCAGTGGTTACGCTCGTGAGGTAAAGAATGGGTTTGTGACTTTCTCACTCAATTGAAAGACTCGCGTCACTCTTATAAAATGGTTGAACGGAATACAGACTTCGAGTAGTCTCTTATTTTTCTTAAAGATAGTGAGGTCACGCGTATCCTGTGAGCATGGTGAATCCGCGAGACGCGAGACTCGTATCTCGCGTCTTCGCCGCTCCACGCTCTCAGAGTTGGGCAAAGACAAGACACGTTATTTCCGGTGCGATACAAGAGGTTCAATGGTTATCTCGATTATCTAAACACATTTATTTACGTGGTAAAGATTTGTTTTTAAATCTATGAACTGATGCTAGTCCTATTTGGAACGAAATGTATTTAAGGAGAAAGTTATGAGAATAAAATAAAAGTTGTCTGTACCACAAAGCATGCCTTCACTGTTTAGACTGATAGTCCTAGAGCTTTTTGAGCATGCATTCGAATATCTTATGACGATAAGCCCGCCAACCACCCCACCCCGCGCTATGCTGTTTTCACTTAGCGGCTGGTCAGCGGTCACGTTTACCAGGTAAACAAACCGATCGATTCCTGATCACCGTTCTTGTCGATCGGAAAATCAAAATACCAGCGTGATATTGCCGCGAAGATGAAGCAGTTATGTTACTTGATTCGTACTTCATGTTCGAGTCGAAGCTTGGGTGGCACAGGTTATTTCTTGCGGTGGAATCGGCGAGGGGAATTCGAACACTAGTTGTAGTGTTTGAATTTTTGAAAGAAATGGTCGCATGAGGATTGTAAGTTTCACGAAAAATTTCAAATTTTGCCGCTTGAATTGAAAGTAAAGTTCATTTGAATTGCTTTCTTATATATTTCTGACGGTTTTAGATTTACCTGCTTGATTTATATCGGTTACGCTTCATGTTGACAAGTCCCTCAAAATGGCGGCCAAACTTGGAGATTGCCGAAAATTAGGTAAGTTCACGGATGTATTGTTTAATATGTTATCTACTGCGCTAGCTAATTAAGGCCACAATTTTCAATTAATTATTACTAATCGCATAACGTGATGACGTCATAAACGGAATTCACTGTATTACGACTTGCTAGTCAGAAGAACTGTGAGACACCACTGGATTTTGAACGCGACTACTCCAAGCGATGATTCAATAAAGGAGCTGTTTAAAACCGTGGACTGAGTTAATCTTCGACTGGCAAAATAACGGAGTTATAAAGTTCTCGTAAAGGTCGGGCTGCAAAGTCTTTTTCTGTAGTTATCTTTTCTATGGCACCTACTTCCTAGATATGTTAGTTGGATCAGTTAAGAACGCCTCACTTTTTCAAAAATTTACCTTGAATTTGATCGGTTTTGGCGTGTTTGATTTAGGCGAACCGATAAGGTGTCATTCAAGTCTTCCTGTTTCCTTGATTGACACGTGATGTTTACGAAAGTTGCCTCGATAGATAACATAGAGTTAATATACATGGCTGTGGTATTTGTTTTTTGCTGAGTTCCGTAGTTTTTTGTAAATTGTCCTCCAAAGTTGTATGAAATTAAAGTCTTGAAAAGTGTCACGACAAGCCTTCGCTCGAGTGAAATTTAATTTCCGTAAAACTCTGAAAAATAAAGAGATCCGATCAAACTGATTGTGGTTTTAGTATAGGTAGATGAATGTCTTACAACACACGAGAAACGAGCGAAATCCGTGTCTCAAGCAAAATCGACCGGACCGCTCTTACAGAGACACTCTCTTAATTAGTGTGCTAATGTTAACTCTATCGCACCTTGGGGACTGACATCACGCACCAAACCGTTTGATTGACAGCAGCTGAAATCTGCAGTGCGACTCAAGTATTCCCAAAGCTAAATTTGTTGACTAATCACAGCCGATAAGTTCAAGACATGCAAATTGATATTCCGCTCGTTGATAAACTGGACACTGTAAGTACCTGTCGCGAGAGACAAAACCATTCTGCGCGGTGAGATTGGTGTGGGGCAGCTGTGGGTTTCCAGGGAATTCTCACGATGCAGTCATATTTAGATCCACTGACCTTTGGACCCGCATCCAAGAAGGCGTTATTCCTGTAATTGGAAAAACTGTAGGCAATGTTACTGTCCCACCACCTATAGTAGGAGACTCTGCATTCCCTCTGCGCACATGTTTAATGAAATCATACACCAATGCAGTTCTGACACCCCAGCAACGTAACTTTTTTTTTTTTTTTATAAAAAAAGCAACGTAACTTTAATTACCGTTTAATTAAGCAGAGCCCGTATGGTTACGGAGGGTGCTTATGGGTAAATCAAGGGTAGGTGGAGGGTGCTACTTCGAAAGAATGAAAGCAGTCAAGATAATGCCAGCATTACTACATTGACATGCATGGTTCTTCATAATACGTGTATTGCAAAAGGAGATGCAATTTCCAAAAAGCATGACTTGAGTTTGGATGCAGATGGTCAAAAGATAAATCGAGAGGAAATAAGAAAGCTGTTGCAGATGAGAAATTGCTCAAGCATCAGGAATATCTCAGAGGAGGCTTTCAATACGTAGAAAATAAAGGTTGGGACTGACAGGTCCGATCTATGGCAAGCGTTTGTTATCGTCTAAAAGTAACGCAAGGAGCAAATTTAATTCGAGTTTTTGGCTTGTTTACAGCGAGATCAAATACAGCTTATAACGACCGTAATATATAGATTTAGCCAAGCCTAAAAGCGGAGCTCGCATTTTTTTTCCCGCACGTTTCAAGGGCACAACGCCTTGCCCCGGCCAGGACTAGAACCCGGGTCGTCCAACTCGGAGCCCAGTGCACTGAACACTGGACTACTGGAAAAAGCCATGGCGTTGGCGTGTCCGCGGTACAGCTGACCACGCATGTTAAAAGTAGCACCTTGTGCGGTCGTACGGTCGTACGTCCAAATTTTTTCGGCTTGATGGGTTTTTACTATTCTGTATAATTATGGGGCTACGCTCTGCGAGCTCCGCTATAAATACATACCTTTTTTAGAGAGTCCGTTTTTGCGGACCGACCTGCTTCCCGAATTTTCGTTCCGCTGGCTTGCTTCTGGAAATCTTCATGTACGTACATGTACATATACGTGGAAAACCTCGAAATGGACAACTCGCTAAAATGGGTTCTTTTTATCAAAGTAAGTGGTCAGACAACAAGTGATACGTTGTGGAAGTAAGGTGAGGTATTTTTACTGAGAATTCGACGTATTTTATAATTCCATAGAACGGTCGTAAATAAACCCTAACCCTAACCCAATAATTCCGCCGTGACTTTTCTTGCGCAAGATGATCATCTCACAGCTGGAGCTTGGGCCGCCTGTGGTTACAGAAGCTTTTACAAACTATGATCGCTCCGAGTCACTTCTTTAGCTCGCAACACTTTTATGTGATACTGAAAAATGATTTATTAAGATTTACTCAACACCAGATGGTTTCCTTTGCTTGTCGAAGAAAGGGGTGCAGAGGAAATAAAATTTGTTGAACTATCCAGGAGCTCGAGATTATAGAATATGATTTTTAAAATGTCAACTTCATTTACACCTGATATTCATTCCTCTATGTAATTTCTTGTTATTCTCCGACCTGCAGTTGTTCGGCTGTGTTAGATAAAGCCATTCGTGGTCAACTGTTGAATAAAAACTAATATTAAGAAAAGCTCATCGCACAAAAGATGAAAAACACATCTTTAAGTCCGAATTCCTTCCACATCTTATCTTGTCGTTGATGAGTACACGCGTTGCACATATGCACCATCTCACCGCTATTGATTTTTCTTGGGAAGGACAGTAGCTAATGACATTGGGGAGGTATCGAGCAAGGATGTCAGGGCAAAAGTAAACGAATGAGAAGAAACATCTTTGAATATAGGCAAACATGTTAAAAACGCATCCAAACGTAACTCTTTACTCGACAAAAAATTGTCAATCGCGAAAACAAGTCCTTTGAAAATCATTTCCTTCTGCGCAAAAAATCAAAAGGAAGAAAGACACTTGGCGTTAATACCTGTGCTTCTCATCTTTGAATTTTTATTACACTTCTGAGTAAAAACATTTCAAAATATGACACAGTTTATCTATCAATCAATTTAAAAAGTTGGCAGTCAAAGAGGAGGAAGTGTTCTTACCATTACGTAACTATCGCAATGAAATGAGAATGACTTATTATCGCTGTTGGAATAATGAGTTGACATTTACAAAAAATTAATTAGATCTTTTTTTTTTTCCAAAACAAAGCGGATATTGAATTCGACGAGGTCTTATCTTTCTTTAAGGAGTTAATCGTATTTTCCACTTTTTTTTTCCTATCTCTCCAAAATAGCGACAATAATATTACTCCCACTAAGTCAATTTCCTCCTTCCTTCTTTCCTCAATTAAAGATTTTCCGTTGTCGTTGTCATTGGCAATAATATTTCTGAGTTTTGTCTTTTAAAAGCTCGCAGTACAGCTTTTTTTTTGTCGTGAATCGTCGTGTAATAGGTTGGCTTCTTTCTCTTGTAGTCTTGTGGACTTGGTTCTTCGAGTTGTGCTACGCGACAGCTCGCGACTGCTTCCACGGCGACGCCGGGATAGCGCAGTCCTGAATCCTCTTCTATAGTTCTCGTTGAAAATGACGTAAATGTACGGGTTCACAGCAGAGTTGGCGTGGCCAAGGAACAGAGTTAGAAAATCCATATCGCATTGCAAACTGTCGGTGTTTCCTAGCGCACACTAATCGGGTATCCAAGTTACGCACCCAATCGCACCTGCGCATTATCTTCTCCCGCGCCCTTCGATTAGGTAATGGCTAAGAAATGCAGTTGACCGCGCATGCTAAAAGTAGCACCTTGTACGCTCGGGCGTACAGTCGTAAGTCCAAATTTTCTCGGCTTGATGGGTTACTATTATTTCGTATAATTAAGAGGCTACGCTGCTTGCGCTGCAAGCTCCGCTATGATCTTATCCATATTTTTAAACAATAAATTTGAATGCACAGTAATGAAATAATTCATCGTTGTCTGTCTTTTTACAGACACTTATTCATAAGGCCTTCCTTTTCCTCCAGCTATGATCTTAAAGTCATGTCCATGGACACTACCCTTCATTTCGTATTTCATATTCATGTCTTTTAGAATGAAAAATAGCAAAGAAACGACTATTTTCTGCCGACACTAATAATTCATAAACCTAAGCTGGCATTTTAATTTTCCAGTGGATAACTTGCTCACTATCTGTAAATTAATATATAGTTTACGCCCTATGAAATTAACTATGACACCATTTGGCTCTATTTATAATTGTCCTACTCTTTGACTTTCTTTCAAAATATTTCCATGAGCTGCGATATTTCACTGAATTAGAAATAAACACTGCACTGAATTAAACTGAAAGGTGAGTTTGAAGCTTGAGAACATGCAAAATGAATTAAATGAGCCATAACTGATACGTGAAGACAGGTTAATTAGCTAGTATAGCGACACACTACGACGGTATTTTTCTGTCAAAAGCGATCAAATATAGTCTATCATTAATTTTTGTCTCGTGAAATTTTTGTTTGCGTGGTGTCATTACTGAGAAGGGTTCATCTACTCGGGGGCAAGTCTTAACATATTATCAGGACGGGGGAAACAGGGCATAAAGGTGGAGCTATACAAAATTGACTGCAAATTAACCGCCACTGACAGGCAGAGGGGGCTCAGATTTCTTAACGGGAAAGAAAAATTATTAAAAAGATTCCTAGTTGGTTAGTAGCTTAGTAGCAGCGCCTAACTAGTATCTGAGAGGCACAGATTTTAATCTTGTGGAAGTCTATTTTTTTCAAGCTTCTTTTGTGCAATTACTAAAATTGCAGCTAGCTTGCGGCAATCATAGCTTTACTTGATTTTAGTGTAAGGTGATAACGTTTAAGGAGCATGTTTTGGGTGTGGCATACCAATTTGCGTTCGGACGATTTTGCCTTATTCTTTGTTACCGAGGAACATTCGACTCTCTTTAATTAGCTTCAAGAATTCACTAACCTGCTTTGAAAGAGGCGTTTTGAGGATAGACTACTTGATTTTCAAAACTGGATTTTGCGTCGAAATAGTCTGCTGTAGTTCATTCCGTCGCCAACCAGGCTGAACTGACTGGAGTGTTAAGGAGGATTGATATTAAAGGAATTTTACAGAATTCACATTTATCTAAATTTTTTGCCCCATCCTAATTCCTCTCAGTATGAGTCTACTGCTTTCAAAAGCTACATTTTGATTTTCAATTGAAGCAACGTTGTTGAGACTGTTAAATGCTGCGCATTTCATCCTTTTTTCGTAGTATTCAAGGGTGTGCAATCTTAATCGATATGACTACCATCAAATGCCGCCCATGCTTGCATTATTCAATTGAAAAGGAAAACGAGAAATGCCGATTGACGCGTAAAGCGATAGGCAAAGGAATTTCACATAGCGGCTCAGCAAGCGAGGGTGTGCATCTTTCAATCATCCTGGCGAAAAAAGAAATTTAAGTAGACATTGAAGCTTTACTTACGCAAACATCACTTTTACCGATGTAAACGTCCTCTATAGGACTGTTTACTGACTCATCGCATCGAAGGCTCTACAATGTTTTGAATGCATGCTGATCTTCCCCATTCAGGGGCAACAAGTGTCATCTCTCTATAATACTACCAGTAGTAAGGGTTTAATAGAGAGGACCCATGAGGGCTGCTTACGAGGTTTCGTAACGACTAACTTTTGCGCTTTGAACTGTCAAATAATATTTGGCCCCAGAGCAATGTTCATTGTCGAGTTTGGATCGCTTGTTTCTGAAAACTGATTTAAAAGTCGCATGCAGACGGCAATTCCGCGGCACTCAGAAGTCAAAACTGAATTCTGTAGAAGGGAAAAATACTTATATCAGGATCTGCTGAATAGATTTTGGGGTCTGCCCCGAGACCCTGAGAACACTTTTGAACTGTCAAACAACAAGTTGCCCTTGAGCGCCACTGTCAATTAGGGTCGACTATATATATATATTTGTTTAAATTTTGAAACCAGTCGTTTGATTTCAATGAAGCCGATGTTTATCTTGTCTGAATAATCAATCCTTTTATCAACCGTAAAAAAGGGAAAAAAGAATACCGCCCCAGACCTATATTACACTACAAAATTAAACATTTTTGCTGTTCCTTCGCTGCATACGACCGTTTATGTACATCATGTTACTTTCCGTAGAGCAGGCCTCAAGATGCACATGCAACGAGTATTGTAGTTAAAATGACCTAGCGCTTTTACTCGGTAAATTCTATTTCAGTCTCTTGTCCCACTACATTAGTTTTTTTTCTGTGATTCGTGCCGCTGTTATTTCGTGTTGTGCCACTAGACTTCAGTACCTCTCGTTTTTCTTCATAATTTCATATAATTTGGAAACCGTTGTCGTTTTTTCCCTTTTTACTGAATATTTCTTCACAATCATGACAGTACATCTCTTTTGAGCACCACCTTCTTAGAGTTGCAATGCATGGCGAAACCATGTAGAAACCCAAGATGGAGTTGTTTACGACGCAAAAAAAAGGAAATGAACTCAAAATGAACACTAATAAAAGGGTTACACTTAGGGAAAAGACTATAGCATGACCTTCGTCTTTTCGCACTCGAGTCATATCGCACGTTAAGCGTGACACTTAGCACACTAGCTGGGAGGCTTAAAGAATATGCCATAAAATATGCGCATATCCGTGAGATTGGTGACTCGCTTAGCGTGTCGTGTCATTGCACGCGTTCTTGTACCTTATTCCCTGTTTTCCCGTGAAGGGTTACAAATATTCCCTTTAGATGGAAAGCAGTTTTTATTTTTGATTGTGAACTTTGCCCTCTCCATGCGACGCTTTAATCAGTTTTTACAAAAGCAGGCGATTTAACTCAACGGAATACGAGTATTCTAGCTTGAAAGGACCGATCGCTTTAGCAATTGTTGAATACATTTGAAATTCTTTAGCGCCTTAGTTAAAGCCAAAGGTTTACGATGTGCAGTTTTGATAATTTGTGTAATAGAACATCAGAACTGATAATAATTGCGTCAAAACGGTCTTTCAAAAGGTGAACGGCAGTCACCGAAGAAATCTTTTACTTATATTAAATCGGATCTCAGATGAATAAGGAGAGAATATCAATCAGTTTTTTCAATCTATCTTTTCAAGTGACGTGAAATTGTTCCCTTTCCCACTTTTTCTCTTTTTAGCAAAGGCTGTGTAGCTTTGAAAATTTGTGTAATAGAATAACAGAACTGATAAATATTTCGTCAAAACAGTTTTGAAAAGCCCAATGCCATTATTTTTTCCATACTAATTTCAGTATTCTAGTCAACCTTCTCGGTTGATCTAAGCAGAAACATTATTCATTGTATATTAAATCGGATTACAGAAAAATCGATCTGTTTTTTTCAACTATTTCTTCAAATGACATGAAATCGTTTACTGTCTCTTTAATATAGAAATGGTTTTGTGGTCAAGCCCATTCAAACGCACTTGTTCTGATCAAATCACATTCAAGGAGTTATCTTTTAACTTTGGCATTGAAGTTAGTTCACCAGGTAGGAGATAATGTAAGGCTAGTCCAATGAGGATGAAGACTGGTGAAAAGCCCTCTTTACATCTAAAACATTCAGTCTACTTGGTCACTGCTGTGGAAGTCGGCTGAACGGCCCTTATGAAGGAGGGGGATTATTTCGCCCGATCCCGGAAAAAAGCAAGGAATATTGCTGCCGATACTATATGTCCACTCCATTAGGTGCTCTCCTACAGTGAAAAAGATAAAGGCAACGCTCGTACTTGTGGCACTGCTTTCCCTTGATACCACAAATTGGTGCCTCGTATTAGCGGGGTGCCGGCCAGAAATCACTTCGATATGTACTCATGTAACATTTTTCGCTAACCAGTTGCAGTGTACATTTTGAATTCGCATATAACCCATAATTCAGGGTATTTCAATAAGTATGCAAAGGAAAAGTGGTATTTGAGTAACATTCTGAGCAGTCTTAACTCTTTGTAGCTTGTGTACATCTAATTTCAGTTCCTAACCGCTGCTTTTTTTGCTTAAACGAACTAAATGTAAAAAAAGGAAGTAGAAGCGTAGCGTCTATTTGGCTTCCTCAGTATTTCCTCTTTTATATTTTGGGTATTCACGGGTATCTAACTCTTTTCGTTCGCTTTAAACTTGCATCATGTTGGTAAGAACTGACTGCGGAAAGTATGGGAGTTATGATGTATTCTGAACTTTACCACCACGAGTCGAAAACAGAGATGTAAATCAGTTGCTGCTATTAGGGATTCAGTTAATGTAAATCACTCTGTAGGTTCTGAGTTGTTTATTTTTGTGCGAAAGTCACAGTTTCTCAAAATTCATGCTTCAATTTTATATTAAGGATGAACAGTTGGCTCGCTTAATGCCATTAACTAGGGAGAAGGACAATTACACAATTGATCATCAATGCTTTTTTTTATTTTTCAACCGACCTGATTCGTATTACAATAACGTCGGAGGTAATGAGGTGATTAAAATAGTTCCATCCCAGTTACAATGGGTTAACATGAGCCACAGCAGTTTCTTCCAGCAGGACCTTTTTGTCTTCAATGTCGGTCCTCACAATGTGATGTTCTACGACGTGGTTCTGAGGCAGCGTGACCGGCTCCTTTGTTCTGTGCAAAAGGAAAAAAATACTTATAAAAATACAAAATATGTGTTTTACGTTACCTATCAGCGTTGGGTTTTTCATTTGTTTTATGAACATCAATGCTTTTGAACTTTGCTTTTGGCACAGTGAAGTTCAGCAATTACTTGTATAAATAATGACTATTTTCCCCCGAACATCTTTTACTAAGAAATACAGGGAAGGGAACGTTCTAGCTTTAAAGGATATTATGATAGATAACTCTGAGTATCTTGTGGAGAATCTAATTCCATCCCAAATATTTTATCGACAAGGGAAATTAGTATTAAGCCGTTTTCTCATGGCCTTTTTCATCTCAGGGTTCTCTTCGGTTGCTTTTATCCCGTAAAACACAGAAGATGAGACCCAAATGCTCAAAAGGAATGATATTCAACCGTTGGAGCTGTTTCAGAGACAGAATACTTACTTGTAAGAAGTGTGAAACTGGCAACTGTGATAACCGCCTCCTTTGAGTTGTAGGAACATAGTTACATCACCTCTCAATATGTTGTTGGAGACAGTCATTTTCTGAAAGGAAGGGTCCCAGCCAATTGTCCTCTTTTGCATTATGGGTCCGTTAGCGGGAAAGTTAACGCCATGAAACATGGATATGTGCTTAAACCAATTTCCCTCAAGACTGTATAATTAAGAAAATTTGAGATATCAATTAAAATACGTAAAATTACTCTTGTAACTGTGTCACATACCTAGAGTGCAATGTACTCTGTAGAATAATGCTACGACACTTTTCAAGCTTAACCCATTTTCTCACAGATGCCTATTTCAAAATTTAGCAGTCTGCATATTCTCTGGTCATTATGCCTTTTGTGTATGTTTGTTCCCCTGTAGCTAAACAAGAAACGTTCTCGGGAGAATCACAACTAAGTTACACTTTCAAAGAGGGCGCTCCCTTCTCCGTGTAAAAAAGAACCTTGAAGATCAATTTTAAAGATTATTGTGTCAATCCGATCCTAATCATCACTTTTATACCAAATGTGTCCACTGGCTGTAGCAACTCCTCCATCCTCATATGTAAATGTCCTTTCAAATGACATTCCAGCAGGAAATGCTTGTTTGAAATAGTCAGGCATGTCGGCAGGATACTTAGTAAAGCATCTGTTTCCATATTTGAACACTGTCGACAGTATGTCAAAGGAAAATGGAAGGGGTCCTCCCTTGGTGACCCAAAAAGTGGACTTCTGTACTCCTCTAAAATAAGATGATAAAAGTGTTGGAAATTATTTTCAGAAACAGCTCATGCATGACCTAAAAAAGTATCGCAAATAAATTTAGCTGTGAATGAGCTTTTATACGATGATTTGAAGTAGCCTTACACTTCGCTTGGTTCTGAAAGCAGATGAAGAATCGGTCGATGTCATAGACTGTTGGTAATTTGTATCACAAATGAATTTAGCTGTGACTGAGCTCTGCAGCAGCCATTACACCTCGCCTGATCATGGGAGCTGATGAAAAAGTTGCTGTCATAGACCGTGGGTAATTTGCAAACTCGAATAAAAACAAGACATAGTTTTTGCTGAAAATCTTCATATGAATCTTTAATCTCGTTCAATTTGCTTTTCAAAAAAGTCCTTATTCATTTTTGATAATTTCCCAAAATCATTTATACTTTGATATCAGGCCCCTATGTGACAACTGCAATGTGATCTTATCAACTCTGTGTTTAAAAATAAATCTCAATACATGATAATGAAATAATTCATCGTGGTCTGTCTTTTAAGAGTCACTTACTCGTAAGGCTTTCCTTTTCCTTCACCTTCGATCTCAAAGTAATGTCCATTGACACTACCCTTCATTTCAAATTTCAAATTCATGTCTTTTAGAATGACCTGAATAAGTAAAAAGGAAAGAAACGGCTATTTTCTACTGACATTGATAATTCAAAGACCCAAGCTGATTTTAATTAACTGCCAGCGCATGCGCATTACAATAGAAATTATTGATTTCTACTCTTACTGCACAGCTTACGCCATATCAAATTAACTCAGTGCACCTGATGAATGGGAAATGGGCATGCTGGCGTACTAATTTACTTCTTGTTTCTCTAATTACATTTTCTGTGATTTTTTGTCATTTTCAAAATATTATTGTAAACTTTCGAATGCTCTGGGTACATTATTTTGTACCAATTGTATTCAGTGTTTTTAAATATGCCACGCGCAGCTAGTTTATTAACAGAAGTTATATTTTAATGAACTGTGAACTGTGAACTGTGAACAAAATTCTTGTGTCACGCGCAATGCAACTTCATTCAAAAATACATTTGATAATGCTTATTGACGCCCATTTCCCATTCATCTTTGAGTGTTTTAATGATAAAGTGAAATGCGTTAGCCAAATAAACTCTTAAAAACAATGGGACTGTTATTTAAACAAAGTTTAACCGTTGTTAACAGAACCGCGTTGTAAATTATCTTGAATTTAGCTTAGTCTTTTGTACGAAAAGTTTTTTTGCGAACAGTGCCAAGAGGGCCGAAAGCTAGCAGTTAAAGGATATATGTTTATCGAAAACAGGATCACATGCAATAATATATAGCACCTTTATCAACATAATTATTAATTTTAAATTTTGATGGATGGACAAAAGTTAAATTACCCGCTGGCAATGGTTGAATCAGTGTCCATCCATAAAGATTATGTGCATCAAGATAAATAATAATAGAAGAATCTTCGTTTTCATTAAAATTAACGAAATATTTATTATTCGCTTTTGCAAATCGATGTGCAAGATTGCCTATGTCACCCAGCATCATTTTTTGACTAGTATTTTCTATTTCAATATTACCAATCAACTCGAGTTTAACATTCGTCTTTTAAGCATTGCATCGAAGGCAAAATTAGGTGCGGAAAGATAAGGTGATGGATCTAAACCATAGTATTTAAGGCACGTACTCCTGAAATTCTTAGTAACATCTGTAAGTGAGGAAATGTCTGTTTTCAAATATTTATCATGATATTCACCAATAATTCTACATTCATATTTTTTGTAAACATGAAATGCAAATATAAATTCTTCATCGGTAATACTATATTCACTTAGTGTACTATAAAATTTTCCTTTAGGTGGGAATCTTTCAAAACTATCCATATATTCATATGGGTAAATGCCTTTGTGTGTTAAAATTGCATCTAGAGTGTATTTATATTGTGACAGTTCAAGATTTTTCACTAAATTTTCAGGAGAACTTGCATATTCTTTTATTTTGTTTTGCAGTAAACTATTTATCTTGGTAAAGGTGTAAGTTTTTTCTTTGAATGTTTTGTTCTTCTCAAAGTTACGGGGTTTTCCGCAAAATTTTTGTTCTTGGTAAAGGTACTAAATTTAAGTTTGACATAATTTCTACTCTTGTAAGCACATTTTTCTTTGTTCTTGGAAAAGGAACTTGTTTTTTATTAAACTCACTTTACATGGTTTTTAAGAATTTTGTTTTCTTTAATTTATTGTTATTAACAAGTGCATTATGGTCGGTTGCGTTCGTTATTATATATTATATAAAGATTTTTTAAAAAATATTTACTGGGCTAGTGCATTTCGGTGTATTAGAACACTCAGTGACAAATGGGAAATGGGCATTTATATGCATTATGTAAAGTATTTCTGAATAAATTTGGGTTGCGCGTGACATTGAAATTTTGAATAAAAACAATTTACTTAAACGTAATTATGTTAATAACACTGAATACACTTTGTTTTAAAATACTATATCCAGAGCAAGCGCAAGGTTATAGAAATATTTCAAAAATAAAGTAAAAATACACAAAAATAACCAAAAAAAAGTAGTTTGGAGACTTTTGGGATACAAGAAGTAAATTAATGCGCCGGCACGCCCATTCCCCGTCCATCATGAGCCTCACACCATTTGGCTCTCTACATAATTGTCGTAGTCTTTGGCCTTCTTTTAAAATATTTCCTTGTGCTGCAATATTTTACTGCTTTTGGAATCAAACACTGCACTGAATTTAGCTTCGAGTTGAGTTGGAAGCTTGAGACATGCAGAATGAATAAATGAAGGCAGGTTGATTAGCTGGTATAGCGACACACTACGACGGCATTTTTCTGTCTGTGGTCTGTGGGGCATGATCTGTTTTAGTAACTATTTGAACTGGCTAAATAAAGCGATCAAGTTCAGCCTATCATTTATCTTTGCCTAGCAAATTTTTTTTTCCGGCGCGGCTTCATTAATGATATACATAAGTATAAAGAGGGAGCTACACAAAACTGACTGGAAGTTAACAGCAATGATGGAGGGGCTAATGTAGGAGGTCAAAAGAATATTACCTGAATTAACCAAAATACTTCGACTCCTACCCTTAGTCGATAGATAATGGCCAATACCGAAGATGAAGTTTTGTGCCCTCAACATTTGCCAATTCTACTTGAAAACAGGCTGGAACAATCAGAAAGGGCTCACCTGTAAGGATTATTGTTTTCCTTGATTTTCACCCGCAGGTGAATAAATTCATTTCATTAAGATGAAGTTCAAAATTTTCCACGGGAAAGAAAACTCTCAAAAGTTTCCATTGCTCCCAACGTGTGGATCGCTAGTTGTTTAGTAGCATGCCGCGCCCAACTAGTATCTGAGTAGCACAGGTTTGAATCCTGTCGAAGTCTAATATTTTCAAGATTCTTTCCTGCAATTTCTAAAGTTACAGCTCACTTGCTAGGATCATTGCTTCATTTGATTTTAGTGTTCGAAGATTTTAGTGTTCGATGATGTTAGTGTTCGATGATGTTTTGGGTGTGGCATACCAACTTGCTTCCTGACGATTCTTCCCTATTCTTTGTTACCGGGGTAAGTTTGACTCTCTTTTCTTGGTTTCAAGAATTCACTAACCTGCTTTGAAAGAGACATGTTGAGGATAAACCACTTGATTTTCAAAACTGGATTGCGAGCTGAGATAGTCTGTTGTAGTTCACTCCGTCGCCGACCAAGCTGAACTGTCTGGAGCGTTAGGGTAGCTTGATTTTAAAAGATAGGATAGAACAGACAAATGCTCATTGATGAAGATGATACCACGTGAACTATCGTGTGATATTTAACAATTGGTTCATGCTTAGTTCGCGTGTATCGTCTGAGTATCCAAAGCTATTTTCGTCGCTTGAAAGAGCCTATTCATTCATTGTTTTTTAATAGATTCTCGTTTGTTATACTGAATAATCATTTTAGGCGCCAAGGGTATGTCTCGATCGCCACGGACAGAAAAACAATGTCTAAAATTTTGAAGCCTCGAGGCCAAATTCTAGGGAAACGTTTCAGCAAAGTGAAACTGCACACGTCAATATATATAAAAAACCGTGGTGGCTCATTAGGAATTAGATAAGAATTACGGGTGCACTGCATACAACGTGGCATATACTTTGTTACCTTAGTCTAACGTGCAAAACCAAGATAAATGGTTATAACCATGGAAAATAAAGATAAACGCTATCTTTTCTACAACATTCCTCGAGGGAACTACCTGATTTCGTAAACTTTAATTTTATGCAAAATTTAAAAGAAGTTTAAAATCTTTTGAGATAAAAGTGATCATTCGACTTCTTCTTGTTAGATTTGAGACTGTTTATAGCCTATGCAACTTATTGATTAGTAATCCGTTTATTCAAACAAAGACGCACTAATGAATGTGATAAAAAAATGTTATCTCTTATTTTAATCAAAATACCACTTGGATAAGGCACCATTTAATTATTCAATGTTATGCTAAAGTCAAGATCAAAAACAAAAACAGAAAAAGGGACCCTCGAGGGGAGCACACGGACACAAATGATTACATAATCAGATTATTCGGTTTTTAATAAACTGAGTTGAGAACGTGACTTGGCTGACAAAGGACCAACACTCGAGAAACATCTTCTTTAGAATGGCTCTTGGGTGAAAATTCACATCATCGACTCAGTTGATAAAAGCAAATATTAAATACCTTGATTAAAGAAAGAGCTCTAATGAGGCAAAAAATTTGGTGCTCTTTAGCAGAGGAAACGATTTACGCAACTCTGGTACTTGAGGCACTGAAGTGAAAACAATTGTCTGCAAAGTCAATGGTAGAGACTAGTTACAACGTGATACGTTGACACGTGCAGGACTGTGACTGCACATTGCAGAAACACTCTTCATTCTTCATGTGTTTTAAAGGTTAATCTTATTTCAGCGTTTGAAGAAATGTCGAGATGGGAAATGGGACAAAAATATCCAATACCAGCAAGCTGTTTGTTTGCTCTTTTGCATTGGTGGAAGATGAACAGAACTGCTTGTCAAGCTCAGGTGAATGCTTGTTCAACTTTATATACATGTACTCCTCCAGTAACTTGAAAGTGCTATGAAAGGGGAGCTTTATGTACCATGTTTTTATGGGAAGTCTGATGTTATTTCCTTTTGAAACCTTTCACAGGTAATCACACAATTACTGTGGTTAAGGGGAAAGTAGATCATGATACCTTGAGAGAGTCCTTAGCCAATGTTATCCAAGATGTCAGCAAGCTAGTAAAGGATGGAGAGATAAATGTTGATGGGCAAATAGTACAACTTAAATTCTTCTAAGGAGTAGATTATAAGGTGAATGACTTTTTCAGTTTGTGTGATGAGTAAAGAGTAACAGAAACTTTAACCCATAAAATATCAAATCATTTGACTGACGTTAGCACTATTTTCTTGTTTCATTTTTGTATTTTTTGCCTATTTCCATGGGCATGAAAGCTGCCACATCTAATAATAGCTGTATTTGGTGCAAGATCCATAAGAATGAGAGGTAGAGATTTTTTGAAAACTTTGACATTGAGATACATATAGCCAGTGTAACTACTGAAAAACCTTACTTCATGTAAAATAATTAGTATCAGCGATAAACGATCCATCTATGAAGATTTCAGTTAGCAGTGAGCTAAAATAGGACTGTGCATGTTCACTTGCAGGCTTTGACTTGGGGAAAGGATATGGTGGCAATGTCTGGCAGCGGACCAGACTATGCACAGACCATCATCATAACACCATATATGTATAGCATGATATTCCATGTTCCTGTGATGATGAGAAAGCATGGAAGCCTGAGATTGTTCAGTGGACAAGGTGTGTGCCCTTTCAATGTGCTTTCAAAACATACAAATTCAAGTAAACATGTACGTTTAATTCCAAGTTCCAAATGACAAACTGCATCTTGTTGAGGTTACCAATCAGAAAAATTTGTTTAGTCAATCTTATGTCTGAACAATTCTTGTTTTAAGATTGATTTTATATTTTGTATATATGGCATTGTGCAATTCTGTATAATGTCTATGTAAAATAAGACTAGTATTGAAAAAAATACAGAATTTTAATAGAACATGTATAAATTTGAAACTGTAACTAAAATTTTTCTCATTTGATTTAATTTCCAAAAGGTGTTGAAAAGAAAAATGATGAAATGAGGCGGTATTTCCACCGAAAAATAAACCGCTGGGATGCGGCAACAAATGTGCTCCTGGTAGAGAAGCGCCAAAAAGCCTTGAGAGAGTACCAAAGAGAGAAGAGGGAATATGTAAAGAGGAAGGCATCATTTTGGATAGGGGAGGCAAGCAGGAAGCTGCCAAGAAAGTTCCCCGCATTTCAACTGTGGAACCAAACCCTTACCCTTGCACAACTTAAAAAAAAATGAAAGTTACAGAACTCCTTTCCTTTCTAACTGACATAACTGGAAGGACATTCAACAACAGAAAAAGGAAGAAAGACTTAATTGACCTGTATTTTAGTGAAAAAGTTAGGTAAGACTGAAGTGTTAAAGGTCTAATGAAGTTTGTATACAACAGTACATGAGAAACGTTGTGTGGTCTTCAAGTTGTAGAAATAGGTGTACAATATAAAATAACCTTACCATTGAAGTTGGTAAAAAAAACACGGCGCCACATCCCTCCAAGTGTTGTTGTTGAGATCTTGCCTGTTTTGTCTTGCCTGTTTTTTGGAGCGATATATTTGTACGTCATACTGAGCTTATTATTGGCGAGTGCAAAGTTTATAAGCCAGCAAAATTTCCATAAAATAGTTCCATAACATACCTTCCTATAACCGAAGTCAATCAAGTCACTTCCCAGCGGATAAAATATCATCACTGTTAAGTTCGGCTGACGCGAGACCAAAAACGTAAAAGCAAGGGAGCTGAAATGGTCAGTCCGACATCCGCACAAGAACCAGGAGAGCAAACAACGGTATGACAGCTGATATGTACAACTGAACTTTCGAGTTGCGATAGTTTCAGACGTTTTTCGAAGCCTACCGCACAATTGTTCATTTCGCAGCTCACATTTTCCGATGGCCAAGTTCGCGATTTGCTTGAGGAAATGGGGACATACTTGGAAGGTCATTTAGCGATCTTAGACAATGTGAGTTCTACAGGTAGCTGTTAAACGACATAAAATAGTATGCGAAAATTCTGTGTGTTTTACCTATAGTCAAAGAACGCCAGGGTCGGTTCAAATAATTTGTTTCTTTTTCAGACAAAACCACTGGATGACCACCTGGCAAGATAGTAAGTACTGAGAGCGAAATTTTGTGAGTTGAATTTTTCAGTTCAAGACTGAGCTGCCTTCGTATATAAGCAAAGGAACTCAAATAATGCTATCTGTCCACATTTAAAAGGGACCGATTCGTAATCCTGGCAGTTTTGGCTTTTTGTCGGAGCAGCCGACCGTGCAAGAAATTCTGCAATAATTCATTTGTTTTTACTTGAAACGCGCACTTTTATACTCCGCTGATTTTCTTTTTTAATGACTTAATAGTTATTAGAAGTTAGTAAGTACTTAATAGGGTCACAGAATATCCCGAGGTCCAACCGAATAACCGAATAAATTTGCTTGTTTTTTGGCTCCAGTTTTCTGTTTACTGTCTCCATGAATTTGAATTTACCAGGGGTTTTACGCCGCTTTCGCTACTTGTCGAGTTCACGATGTTCGAGTTCGCTACATGTTCGCTACACACATATCGACCCAGTACACTACCTTGGAAACATACTAATAGTTTTATCGTGTTCTAATGGCCAACGTCTTGTTCATTTTTTTACAATCTAATCTATCGTTGCGGTATATAGTATCGTAGCAATTGGCGTGTGAATCCGGAGTACGTGCGAAAACTGGGATAAAGCAGCCTGCACGAGTGGATCGTTGTCGAATAAAGTTTTAAGTTGTCTTTTCCGGTGTTTCATTCAATGGTTTATTTCAGAATAGAAACGACAATATTTGTTCGTTTGACATAGGATTCCAGCTTAGTTAGTGTTTGAAGTGTCATGTCACTTTCAATGAAGAGAGCGGTCCGTTCTTTAATATTTAGTGTTATTGTTCACTTATCACACCTTGAAAATTTACTTTGCTCATCTTACCGGTACTTATTAGTATAAATACACCAGAAACTGCATATTTAGTAAGGCATGAAAACCACACCAGTGTTTCTCTTGAGTTATGAGATCTTTGCCACCGTCATTATTTATATTTTTCTCAGTATATGTAAATAGCATACTTCAGTTTCGTGGAAAAGTACTCGATTTGACTTTCGAAATACGCGGGGCCGTCCCTAAATATGGTGTTACAAAAATGAATTGTTAAATTTTTTATCGCAATAAAATTATCGTAATTGTTCCCTTCTGGTCCCAATCATCTTGTTTTGGTTTTCTAAGTAAAATCATCAGACGGTTAACTTTACTTAACAAGAGTGAAGTTGGCCATGAGCTTTTATCACGATTGGTGGCTTCTAAAGAAGCTGTTTTTATAACGCAGCTTTCTGTTCACTGCAAATTTCCGGCGAAACAACTCTTAGTGAACTTTACTTGAACTCTTTCCACTGGACGGGAACCCGTCTTGCGGCCGTGCTCGTCTAGGAAGGCAGGCGTCTTTCCAAGAAACAGCTTCAGGTGTACAGGAGCGTCGACCTAACAACCACCCCCTGTTGCAGTCAGACATTTTTTCAGAGAAGAACCAAGGCCTGCTGCTATCAGCTCCTCTTTACTGACGAGGTATGGACTCCCCCCGGAGATCCGACGGCAACCCAGGAAAGATCGCTCGCAGCACATCGTGCCGTAAGGTGATGGTTTCGTTCCAAGCCAGGGGCATTTTTAAGCCTTTCTCGAATAGTAGAGACAAATTCTCTCTACGTTCATCAGCGTGAATTGGATCGACAGACCTGTTCTCGAAGACAGCGATGAGATCTTCCGGCAAATGTTCGGCTGGTTCCCAGGTATTTTCACTAGGGGAGTAATTCTGCCAATGGATGAAGTATTCTGTTTTTCTTCCTTTAACTCGTTTTGCAACAATGCGCTCTACTTCGTAAATACCCATTACAGTTGGCTTTACCTTCGGACGATATTTTGAATTACAGGCACGATCGCAAACATTATTCAGTAACGTTGCGTAAAAGCCTGGCTGATGTCTCGCACGCTTCAACAGGTTAACTCAAAGGTAGTAATTATCCACTGTCCTTTTCATATGTTTTGATTTGTCAAAACGGATCCAAGTGTGATTAATTAACCGACTGTTCCCTCAGGCGCGAAGCTGTTTCAGGTGGTCGCTTATTTGTTTTTTTTTATCTCTTGATGTTTTTGTAATCCTTAATTCTTCTTTCCTTTCGAGAACAAGAAAGACTAACTTCTAATAACTATTAAGTCATTAAAAAAGAAAATCAGCGGAGTATAAAAGTGCGCGTTTCAAGTAAAAACAAATGAATTATGCATCGCACTGCTTAGAATGACCCTGAATGATTAAGCAGTTTTCTCACGCTTTCAGATCTATTATCCGGGCCCCTCTTGCGAACAAGTATGCCCCCAGAATAAATTAACGCAAAACAATTCACTGATTGAGCACCGCTATTTCTAGTCCCCTGCCGCAACCTTTCAAACTCGAAAAGAAAAAGGGGCCGCCAGATGGCAGGTTCTAAACCGCCGGGTCGACATGAAACAATCTCGATAATTCAGATAAAGTTTTGACCAACAGGAGTTTGTTAGTCGTCTATCGTCGCACACGAATCTGCAAACGCTTTGTGAACAGTGCGGCAGGCCTTTAATTAGTGTGCTAATGTTAACTCTATCGCACCTTGGGGACTGACATCACGCACCAAACCGTTTGATTGACAGCAGCTGAAATCTGCAGTGCGACTCAAGTATTCCCAAAGCTAAATTTGTTGACTAATCACAGCCGATAAGTTCAAGACATGCAAATTGATATTCCGCTCGTTGATAAACTGGACACTGTAAGTACCTGTCGCGAGAGACAAAACCATTCTGCGCGGTGAGATTGGTGTGGGGCAGCTTTGGGTTTCCAGGGAATTCTCACGATGCAGTCATATTTAGTTCCACTGACCTTTGGACCTGCATCCAAGAAGGCGTTATTCCTGTAATTGGAAAAACTGTAGGCAATGTTACTGTCCCACCACCTATAGTGGGAGACTCTGCATTCCCTCTGCGCACATGTTTAATGAAATCATACACCAATGCAGTTCTGACACCCCAGCAACGTAACTTTTTTTTTTTTTTTTTTATAAAAAAAGCAACGTAACTTTAATTATCGTTTAATTAAGCAGAGCCCGTATGGTTACTGAGGGCGCTTATGGGCAACTCAAGGGTAGGTGGAGGGTGCTACTTCGAAAGAATGAAAGCAGTCAAGATAATGCCCGCATTACTACATTGGCATGCACGGTTCTTCATAATACATGTATTGCAAAAGGAGATGCAATTTCCAAAAAGCTTGACTTGAGTTTGGATGCAGATGGTCAAAAGATAAATCGAGAGGAAATAAGAAAGCTGTTGCAGATGAGAAATTGATCAAGCATCAGGGATGTCTCAGTGGAGGCAAATAAAGTCTTTCAATACGTAGAAAATAAAGGTTGGGACTGACAGGTCCGATCTATGGCAAGCGTTTGTTATCGTCTAAAAGTAACGCAAGGAGCAAATTTAATTCGAGTTTCTGGCTTGTTTACAGTGAGATCAAATACAGCTTATAACAACTGTAATATATAGATTTAGCCAAGCCTAAAAGCGGAGCTCGCATTTTTTTCCCCGCACGTTTCAAGGGCGCAACGCCTTGCCCCGGCCAGGACTAGAACCCGGGTCGTCCAACTCGGAGCCCAGTGCACTGACCACTGGACTACTGGAAAAAGCCATGGCGTTGGCGTGCCCACGGTACAGTTGACCACGCATGTTAAAAGTAGCACCTTGTGCAGTCGTACGGTCGTACGTCCAAATTTTTTCGGCTTGATGGGTTACTACTATTTTGTGTAATTATGGGGCTACGCTCTGCGAGCTCCGCTATAAATACATACCTTTTTTAGAGAGTCCGTTTTTGCGGACCGACCTGCTTCTTGAATTTTCGTTCCGCTGGCTTGCTTCTGGAAATCTTCATGTACGTACATGTACATATACGTGGAAAACCTCGAAATGGACAACTCGCTAAAATGGGTTCTTTTTATCAAAGTAAGCGGTCAGACAATAAGTGATACGTTGTGGAAGTAAGGTGAGGTATTTTTACTGAGAATTTGACGTATTTTATAATTCCATAGAACGGTCGTAAATAAACCCTAACCCTAACCCAATAATTCCGCCGTGACTTTTATTGCGCAAGATGATCATCTCACAGCTGGAGCTTGGGCCGCCTGTGGTTACAGAAGCTTTTACAAACTATGATCGCTCCGAGTCACTTCTTTAGCTCGCAACACTTTTATGTGATACTGAAAAATGATTTATTAAGATTTACTCAACACCAGATGGTTTCCTTTGTTTGTCGAAGAAAGAGGTGCAGAGGAAATAAAATTTGTTGAACTATCCAGGAGCTCGAGATTATAGAATATGATTTTTAAAATTTCAACTTCATTTACACCTGATATTCATTCCTCTATGTAATTTCTTGTTATTCGCCGACCGACAGTTGTTCGGCTGTGTTAGATAAAGCCATTCGTGGTCAACTGTTGAATAAAAACTAATATTAAGAAAAACTCATCGCACAAAAGATGAAAAACACATCTTTAAGTCCGAATTCCTTCCACATCTTATCTTATCGTTGATGAGTACACGCGTTGCACATATGCACCATCTCACCGCTATTGATTTTTCTTGGGAAGGACAGTAGCTAATGACATTGGGAAGGTATCGAGCAAGGATATCGGGGCAAAAGTAGACGAATGAGAAGAAACATCTTTGAATATAGGCAAACATGTTAAAAACGCATCCAAACGTAACTCTTTACTCGACAAAAATTGTCAATCGCGAAAACAAGTCCTTTGAAAATCATTTTCCTTCTGCGCAAAAAATAAAAAGGAAGAAAGACACTTGGCGTTAATACGTGTGCTTCTCATCTTTGAATTTTTATTACACTTCTGAGTAAAAACATTTCAAAATATGACACAGTTTATCTATCAATCAATTTAAAAAGTTGGCAGTCAACGAGGAGGAAGTGTTCTTACCATTACGTAATTATCGCAATGAAACGAGAATGACTTATTATCGCTGTTGGAATAATGAGTTGACATTTACAAAAAATTAATTAGATCCTTTTTTTTTTTTTCCAATACAAAGCGGATATTGAATTCGACGAGGTCTTATCTTTCTTTTAGGAGTTAATCGTATTTTCCACTATCTTTTCCTATCTCTCCAAAATAGCGACAATATCATTACTCCTACTAAGTCAATTTCCTCCTTCCTTCTTTCCTCAATTAAAGATTTTCTGTTGTCGTTGTCATTGGCAATAATATTTCTGAGTTTTGTCTTTTAAAAGCACGCAGTACGGCTTTTTTTTGTCGTGAATCGTCGTGTAATAGGTTGGCTTCTTTCTCTTGTAGTCTTGTGGACTTGGTTCTTCGAGTTGTGTTACGCGACAGCTCTCGACTGCTTCCACGGCGACTCCGGGATAGCGCAGTCCTGAATCCTCTTCTATAGTTCTCGTTGAAAATGACGTAAATGTACGGGTTCACAGCAGAGTTGGCGTGGCCAAGGAACAGAGTTAGAAAATCCATATCGTAAGGCAGACCGCAAACATAACGAGCCGATTCCGCAAACATCACAAACATTCTGACGTACAACGGAAGCCAGGATAATGCAAAAACGATTACAACGGTTACTAACATCTTTAAGACTTTCTTGTTAGTCTTGTCCTTATTTTCTTGGTTTGACGACAGTTCTTGGCCAGGTGCTTGCCTTCGCCACAGTTTAAACATAATTACTGTGTACAGAGATGCTATGAGCGTCAAAGGCAAGGCATACAGCATTACAAACAGCGCTATGGTGTAATCTCGAGGAGCTGTGTTTTCATCAAACGGTGGATTCCATTTTTCTTTGCAATGGGCGAGGCCTTTTTCACCGGTGTTTGTAGAAACGTAAAGCTGAGGACCTGAGATGATGACCGACGATAACCATGTAGCTGAAATGATACCTTTGGCGGCGCGAAATGTAATCACACGTTTTAACGGTCTGAATATTGCGAAAAAACGATCGAATGCGATCGCACAGAGCGTGAAAACCGAAACTGAGATTGTGAGTGATTGCGCGAAGGGCAGTAGTTTGCAAAGGGCCTCTCCTATCCATCCACCAACAGCCCAGATATCTAGTCCACGGAGTATCCAGTAGGTTGTAGGTAGCATGTTGAAAACAGTGGTCAAAAGGTCGGCAACAGCCATGTTGATGATAAGATAGTTCGTGATGGTTCGCATTCGCCGGGTTTTGTGCACAACCCGCACGACCATAACATTTCCGAATAGGGAAAGCAGTATCACTAAGATGTAAGCGGCTGCTTTGATGCCTTTTACATACTCTTTGGTGTTTTGTTCTGGGCAAGACGGGTAATCTTGACTAGTTTCCGCAGGAAAACTAGATGCTGGTACAGTTTGGTTTAACATGTCGAACGAGTACGAAAAGCTCGCGGGAAGAAGAAAGACAACGCGGCTCTAGATAAACGGTTAACTTCCACGTTGTAAAGTGGGCTTTTACGCTCGATTAGCAGCGGTCACTTTAAGGGCTTTTAAGTCTTCCCTGTTCTTCGAGATGATTAATCCGTCTTAAATTGAACGCTCTGTGTAGACCGCCAGCCACTCAGTCTGCCATGAATAAAAGGCGATCCTCTCGAAAGGCGATGGAAACAAAACAAGAATTGACAACAAAAAATATGCAGCACTATATGCGTGGGTATGTTTACAAAAGCTCGGTTTTCAAAATGCAAATTCTTTCATTGATGAACATTGCGATTTAGGTGTAAATTAGGTTAAGACGCTTTTCTGATCAAAATGAATTGTCACACTTTCGCCAATTTTAGAAAATGAATTCGGATATCGGCTTTGACACTCGAGATTTTTATTCAATAAACGAAGATAAACATAATCATAACATATGTACTTTTAAAATCCTGTGACGATCTCCTTATTCTTGCCGTATACTTGGATGTTGGAGATCATAGACGTTTGAGACATCGGATAAAAGTAGGGTAAAATGTTCAGTTTAAATTGTGCAAGTATAAATCATTAATAAGACTGGCATGATCTTTCCAAAGAAAGTTTTCACTTTTGCGGATTTTAGCTATTAGAAGGAAAAGTTTGACCAAATTTCGAATTAGTTCAGAAATGCTTCTTTCATCTTTAACGGGAAAAAAAAGGCAAAGGGTTCATATCCTTAAAAAAGAAAATATTCAGCCAAGAAGACAAATAATAACGAGTTGTATTAGCAATAAAATCGATATTTTTCAAGTAATGACAGAGTAGAACCATCTGGTTTAATTTGGTATCTCCGATCCGTAATCTTTCCTCAAGCCCAAACAATTTCGATCCTTCGCCTACAGCCATAAAATAATTACCAGAGATAAAAACATTGTTCTACAGTGCGCAATAAAAATAGTCGGTACTCTTTTCAAGAAGAGATCCAAACATTTCTAAGGACTTGATGGTCCTGCTGGATATAGAGTGAGATTGATGTACGCTTTTAATGAGAGAAACTTTGTTTGTCGAAGGAAACTATTGCTTTTCGTACTTGACCATTTGCGGTTGTGGCTTTTCCCTTTCATTAAAGGGTTAGAAAAAATAGACAACAAATAAAGAGAAAAATTTACTAAAAGCGAACGAATCTTTCCATTTCTTTCACGTGGCTACATCTTAAGTTAATTTTTAGCGTTATATCATATGCTAAATGAGGCCTTCGCATTAAAACATCTCATTATCAAAACGGAAATCCCTCATTAGTGATCCAAACTCATCTTTAAACATCATGACATGACGAAAATGAAATTTCATATTCTATATTTAAGCAAGAGGAAAACACAAATTAACTTTGAGAAGAACAAATCAGAAATTACTTATCTGAAGATTCAAGAAATCAAAAAGTATGTTTATTTCATCCTTGACACATATCCTCCTCGAACATAGCTAAATTAAAATAAAACCAGCCAGAAATAAACTGAAGATGTCTCACGTTTGTACAAAGCCATGTACTCTTTGAACTTTGCGCCAATTTTGAAATGAATAATCGAAACACATGTTCGATATTTTGCGCATATCGGGGCTTACTCAAGAGAAGTGGTCTTAAGTAAATTACTCTCACTGACACAGATGCAAAAAGATCGCGTTTCCTGGTCCGAAAGCGCGAGCTCTGAGATCGAAAATCCTCAAAATATTGTAGGTAAATTATATAGTTAGGTATATACCTTATCGTTATTTCATGTGTGAAGTATCTAGTTTGCGTAAAATAATCGTCATTAATGATGATTAGGGAAACAGGATTGGTAGCGATTTGACCGAGGGCTCCTCGCTCAAAATGTCGGTTTCGAACTTCGAAGTGTGACTTGGTTTTATACGATCAGGAGGCTATTTTTAGAGACATTTTCACGAAAATCATGCAGATACAATTTCATCTTTAATTTCAATCGTTAGTTTTCCACGACTGATCATTTCTTCGGTGGTTACCTTTCACCAGCCTGCAGAACTAACGAATCTGTGGTGAGCCTGGTTTAAGTGTTTTCGCATTCAAGTCTAGGCAGGCATCTCGGAGTTTTAGAGCACGGACAGATGTGCACAGAAATAAATTTTACCAAGAAGGTGGTATATTCGATGACCTTAACTCCAACACGGCGACTAAGTGAACTTTTACGAGCTTTTAAACACTAACTCAGCCTCTGAAAAAGACGCCTACACTACAGGGTATCCATTTGTTTCCAATTTCCGATAGACTATGAGTTTTAGCCTAACGAAGAACTAAAATCGAAGTAAGACATTATGCCTTGCCAATTTCCATCAACTCTTTGCCCTTTTGGATTGCCATAATGCTACTTAGCAGTAGCGTGGCAGTTAAAGTCTTCTTTATTTATTTATTTTTTATTTATCTTTTGTTTATGACCCCAGACCGTCAGTTAAATCTTCGAGTTTCTAGTTTATGGTTCGTATTCACCGGGTTTTGCGCACAACCCGCAAGACCACTACACTACCCTACTTGAAAAACTGACTTAATCGAAGGAGACAACAATATCGTGAGATTTCAGGCCAGCGACTTGTTATTGTAAGATATCAGGACAAGAAACAAGTCAGTGATAGGATCCTTGTGTTTGCACAAAGATTTCTGGGATCGCCTAGGCCGGCAAACGTTGCAAGTTGCTAGAGGGAGATATATGGCGAAAGGATGCTTCGACTTCCAAGTAATCGATTTCGGAGAGAGATCGTCCCTTTTTCGTTGCAGTTTAATCAGAAAGAATTTAGGTACTGTCGATACGAGGGAAGTGTAAGGTTTTGCTTGAGTAATCAAGAAATATGTGATAAAATATACCGTCAAACTTCTCTCATAGGGTGTCAGAGATTCACGTCTATGTGATAATGTTTCGAAAGTTCTGCATAAAAACAAACCTTATAATTTAAGCGGCGAAGAAAGCGAAAATGCCACTACTGCTCAAAACAGAGTTTAGATGTCGACCATATGGTATGTTGTTTCTATTTTTGTCCATGTGTCAACCCTCTGAAAAGTCCTTGCTGCAAGCCTGAATTTTAGATTTCATAAGATAAAGTTCCGTTGCTAGTTTAACCCCAAGTCAGGAATGAATGAAAAAAAATATTAACTCGGAAACCTATTCGATCTTGAGAAATAAATCCAAATTTCCCAAGATTGTCCATTTGGGCTTTTGTAATATTACTTTTTTATCATTTGATAAAAAGGCAGACGTCAACCCAGTGAAAGTTTGTTTACTCACATTATCACTTAGTGGGTTTTTATAACGTTTCCAAAAATCAAAAGTTATTTCTATTGTAAGCTATCCTTTATCACAGGCCTTGTTAGTCTTAATAGGTGAGCGTATCTTATTTACTACTGTATGTAACTGAAATAGCATTGCTTACGTTGGCATGGGGATATAGCGGTGAACAAACCACGTCTAACGGGAATTACATGAAACACGAGTCTTGAATCCCTCTTCTAATTTGATGCTGCTTTGCTCTAACAACTTCTAATTCATCTCTTAAGTTACCAAAAAGCTATTTTTTTTTCGGGGTATGCTCGCTTTTTTAGGGTATGAAAATCATAAATTCATGTAAACACGAGTACTTCCAGTTCATCTGCTTTTTCTCTGAGGCTTCTGGATGCATCGGAGCCTTTGTTCTCGACGATATCCCTGACTGTGGAATGCAGTTCTATGGCATCTAAAACCAGAAAGGCCGTACAATAATCAGGCTGTGGCTTTTGCAGCTGATTTGGCTGTAACTTTGCGAAGCCCTGTATCCTCTTTTCATGATCTCTTTGCTTGCCTTGGAGGCCGCTGTAGAGCCAGCTTTTATGATTGCTACAGCTCCACTCTTGGATCCAGCTTCTGATGCAATATGTTTGGCTCCAAGAATGGGGGCATTTCTAGAAGTGGTCTCAACAATCCCCTGGTGGTTGCAGTCGTCGCCTCCTTGACACCAACTATCAATGCTAAGTCACTCACCGCTTTTATGGCAGTCTTACTCATCGAATTTGCCAGCAGATCCGGGTGCATACAACCTTCAGTTAAGGCCACTGCCGGATGGTTTACACCGAGCATATCTTCGGCAAGTTTAGCAGCAAAAAACAATCGAGTTTGGTCTTTACCACCTTTTAACATCTAAATTTGTTTCTTAACTTCAGCTATTTTCTCGAAAACTTTTTTAAGGGCAGCATCTGCTTCCTGGGTCAGCGATGAGTTGGAAGTGGATTCAATATGTCTTGCGCCCAGATCAACGCAGGCACCAGTGCTGTTCCTGCAATCAGAAATGGCAAAGCAGCACCAGCTGTCATGGCAGTGGCAACTTCTCCTGCCACGGTCATACAACCGCGTGCGATTGAGGTTGAAGCAGTCTCACAACTTCTCCATACTTTATCTAGGTGATCAGCTAATGCACGTAGGTGTCTTACCGTTTTCCTCACTTCGAGGAGCATACTATTAACTCCTTCTGCGAAAACATAGACTTCTCGCACTAGTTTTTTCGTTTCAGCCGCACTCAGAATCTCTATTTCAGCGACAGTCACATCTGAAACAAAGACATAAAAGCGATTTTGATCATCACACTTTTCAGAAGTAAGTATTATCTCTGAATATTTTAATTGTATATTAAATTCCCTTAGTATGCGCATATGTGATGATTTGGACTTCAATAAGAAATCAACTAAAATAACCAGTGAAAAGAAATACGCTTTAAGCAGACAGTATCCGTTACTTTCCGACTATGGGCCAAGTTAGCCATTAAACTAATTTAAAGAAGTTGATCGGTTGGTGCGATTAGCTACTTTTACGCGGTCAGTCGAAATTTCTCGTTTTCTCATTTAAAGGGGACAAAAACATAGACAACTTTTTGGTCAGAAGTTCCTTTTCGTTTCGCTCTTATTGGTTGAAAGAGCTTAATACAACGCGGTACAAAACACGGAGCGGAACAAAATCTGTCAAGCCATCTGCCAATTTGTACAATGCCCGACGATCTCCGGAACCCTCTCTAACTTTTGTCAAAAAAAACAAACAAACAAACAAACTACAAACAACAAACTCTTGGGATCAATTGATACAGAACAGCCTGTAGATAACAGTGCAAATTACACTGAAATAGAAAGTAAAATTTAGGAATTAGCGAGTTGGCAAGTAGCAACAGAAGCACCAAACAAATTAGGGTTTGTAAACATACCAAGCGCCGAAACTTACGAAATTATATCGTGAGCAGAGACCAACTAAAATGAACAAAAAGAAAACGAAATGGATTATTCGAGTTTTGAAGGTTTTCATACTCAATTTTTCGTAAGCTTTAGTAATAAAACTTAAGCACGCCTAACGCTCGAATAGTATTCATAATTTCGTGAATGACGAAAAACGCAACAAAACTGACATAACTGTTAAAAAGTTCGCAAATCAGAGTGTACGAGCGACTGTGATCCCGCTGAGGTCCATTGCAGCTAGCTCATCATGGCGATTTCCGGTCATCACAGTGAAGCAAGCCTTGGAAATTAGATCGTACGCTTTTCAAGTGAAAAACTACGAGCTTACTTTGATAATTTTTATAATGCGTTGAGTGGAAGCCAGTCAACCCGATCAATCTTAATTTTTCCCTGTAACTTGGCTGTCGTTTATTCATTAAACACAGCACCTTGAGCAGTTTGTTTTTTAATTTTCATGGTTAAATGAAGACGGAATGATGACGGAAGTTGTCGACCGTAAACGGAAGTTGTATTCCGCGTGCGGAAGTTGCAATGTGGACAATGAACGGAAGTAGTATCGCATGCATAAATTAATTTCGATGAAGCTCAGAAACTTACGTGGAAAGAGATAAAATGTTTATATGGTTTAATAAAAATAATACCCTCAAATCTTATTTCAGAACTTCTGAAAATGCGACTTGAATCGAGATACCGAAATGTTCACACCTGGGGGACCCGCAGCGGGTTCATTTAAACACAAGCTGTGACCACGCGAAAGAGCATCAAAGGTCGCCATATTAAGCTGTGCATTTGCGTTCGTCTTCAGTTAGTATAAAGTAATCATTGCTCTATCATTGTACTTTTCCTCGTGAGCTCTTCAACATATAGTCCAAATATCAATCATAGCGGCCAAGATAGTCTCACTATAATTTTTTTTCGAGCTCCAATATTTCGGCCGGGACTTGAGGCTCGTTCGAACAAAAACAGTAATACCAACCGGTCAGTACAAAATGCAAACCACAAACTGTAGACCGGGTCCAAATGCAAACTTGGCACAAAATGCAGACTGCAGACTGGGTACAAAGTGCAGACTGAGAATTTAGACTGTTTTTTCGTCTGATACGTGATAACACGTTATCTTACAACCTACCAAGAGTCACGCAATCGCTTTTCCGCGATCATCCCAGTTTCACGACTATTTGCACTATTGTGGAATATCTCTTGCCCGTTTCTTAATCACAATCGTTCTTAATAAAATTTCAAGCCTTTCTATAGTCTTTTCACTTTGCGCGCGAGTTGGTTGGTGAGATTTCGATACAGAATTGGCTAACTTAATAAAAGTATATGCAAATGTAGAAGTAAAGGAGATGTCACTATTGAATATATAACGCGCGCAATATTCGAGAAACAATTGACAGCTTTGCACGTGGTCCGTACGTTTCATCGTTTTAATCAATATGTTTTCATTTCGTTGACAAAAATGCGGACCGAGACCAAAACTGTTCCTTCGACTTGATATACTTTCAACGTTCAGGGGTGTACACACTGATTTTTCCATATGTGCCTTATATTGTTACTGGCTTAGTACATGGGGAACTAGCGAATTTTTATAGGGAAAAGCGAAGAGTTGCTTTCGTGACAGGCCATTTGTTTACTTTTCTGGTGGTTTTATCTCTCATCTGTTTGGTGACTTCGCAAACACACACACACACGCACACAAAGGAAAAGGACATTGTCTGCCTAATGACCTCTGCCCGTCCTACCTCTAGCCCACACAAACCTTTTTTCCAATTCTCATCACGACTAACGCACAAGTTTTCTTATCACAAACCTACCCAAACATGAGAGAGAATTCATTCCAAAAGTCTCGAAAGTTCGCACAAACCGAATTCAACTGCACCTATATTCAAGAAGTCCAAGAAATCGATAAAATCTTAAGCCATAACATGAATGAGCTGGCTCCAAGAGCCCTTTGATTTACGATACATTGAGATATATTTAATATAACTGTAGGTTACATTAAGTTATGAATACCGTTTGTCATAACAGAAAGTGAAATGGTCTAAAAAAACTTGTACAAAACTAAAATGTTCCCAAAATTCATTTCAACAGACTTTCGAGATTCTATCGGTTATAACAATACTCAAAATTTTTGAGGCCTAGCATTGAAATCTTTATGACCAACTACTTTTAGACAGATCTAAATCAGTTTACAGCAATTCTAAAAGAAATGGATTGGTTTTTGTGATTATGTCAGAATTTAATTCTTGTCAAAACAACACTGCGCAATTTTGCGCTAAAGTAACTGTATAGAATATTTCATTTACTCACGATGCTCATTGCCAATAAAATAAAATAGGGTACACGTCTCATTAAAGGAGACGGAGGTGACGCGAATAAAAAAGCCATTACGTGCTTTACAGCTTTACAGTTCAATAGTAGCGGTCACGTTTGTTTCAAGAAAAGCGGGAACATCTAATTATTTAAAAAGTTATTGATGCAAAACGCATCCGTTTAATACTAGAAGTTTTCCCTAACATTTGAGTAAAATACTGTGTTCGGTACAGAAGTAGAAACAAATAAATCAGTTCGAAAATGAAATTTTCATGAAATCAGGTAGTTAGCAGTAAGTGTTCCTCCTTTATCTTTAAACTCTACTCCAAATTGCAGTTGCGTACACCAAAAAATGAAATTGCCATCCCTTTTAATACCAGAAGTTTGCCCCAAAGTTTGAGCAAACTATTGTGTTTGGTACAGAAGTAGAACCAAATAAATCAGTTTGATACTGAAATGTTTCTGAATTGAAATCAGTACAATTTAGATAACCTTATAATCAGTCAGTCATACACAAAAATCCCTGTCGCTCATTTAGTAATGCTGCAGGTAATCACATAGGGAATTGCCTGTGCGGAGATGTGCCTCATAGGCCTCTAGCCAAATCAGACCTTTCATGGTCACCTGGTAAAGCGTGTTGTCGTCTGTCCACGCGGCCGGTTTGTAATGACAAATTTTCGTGCAGCCATCTTTGCTTCCCCAAGTGTGGTCGTCATCGCTTCCAAAACGCATCTCCGCTCCGTCTCGTTTACTCAAGCAACGCGATGGGCTGCTTACCACCATTTCAGGGCAGCTATTGGGAAAATCGGAAGGGACGTAAATCCTCAATGTGTACTCCTTGTTATTAGTACATGTTACTCTGATTTCGACCCTGGTGTTGCCTGTTGGTTCGATCCAAGATACACGGTTTCGGAAGTACTGCTCAAGCAACGTTTTCTCATATCCAAGGCGTGTTTGTTGAGATGCTGACCAAGGCATAGCGTAAAAACTTCTCCTCGCTGTCTAACTTGAGATAGCTTTAAAAATATCGAGGTTTACAATATATTTCAGAGTGAACGCTGATTGTTTCTTAGAAATCGACGCCTGCGCAAACAGGTCCAGCTAAAAATAAATTTCTGAGAAATGTTTGTGACATTCAAGTGGGAGGTAAGGACTTTTCGGTTTCATGACTTGCAGCTGCGATAATTCTTCCGGTACATCTTAAATGTCGAATGAGTTGAGAGCTTCAGACTTTATTTTCCGTATTTCATAAACTACGAAGTAGATAATCATAATACAGACTGAGAGCTTTTATCTGATAGCAGTGATTTAATTTTTCAAAATAATTGAAATAATCACAATTTCTGTCGGCCTGAACGATGGCATAAGAAAGGTCTTAAAACTTCGGCTGCGTCTTTCACGGTTCTTAATCGATAAAATAAAACCCTTGACTATCCAACTTACAGTACCCTAAGCTTTCTGTTAAGACAGAGCGAAAAATTCACACGTAGTTATTCGGTTTTAAGGCTGTTTATACAAGAAAAATCTGTTTTGTCATGCAAAATAGATGGCAAAGTCGGTGTGCGTTAATAGTCGAATATTTTGATAAATGTGACCCGAAAAGTCCTTATCTACCGTAATTTCTGGCCGTTTAGTCGCAACAACGCGCTTCTTCATCCGAAACTTATGTGTTCATGTATGTGAGTTGAATTGATTCGAATACAAAGCAGTATGTCGATAACACTCCTATTTAACCGTTTAAGCATGCTTCACAAATCCTGCTTACAGGAGTCGGCCTATTTGTTTCTAGTTTCGAGTAGCAAATATCCCATTTAAGAGTCCTTTAAGTTTTTTTTTTTTACATATGTGCCGACCAAAAAATGTTTCCTGACATTCACTTTAATTAATTATGTGGCGACGTAAAACTGAACTCGCGTCGGCTTCGTGTTTTCGCGCAGCTTTGTCGCGGTGTGCGAAAAGAAAAATAAAATTGATTTTTCGCTTTACTCTAAATCCTTCGACAAAATTTGCTCTCTCACGCGTAAATCACTGAAACTAACAGCCGTTCCCAGAAATTTCGAAAGGTGGTGTTATTCATCATCAAATTTTGTTTGTGTACACTTTGCACTGTATTTGAAATACTTAGTTCTCATCCACCTAGTTGAATGATGATGATGGCAAAATGAGTTATCTGTCAGAAAATGGGCGGGCAATTTCTTATTCCAGCGAAGAATCGAGATCCTTTGCCTTTGTCCTCAAGTAAGGCGCTGCCTTACACCCTTTCTTTTCGATCAAATCTCTAATATTGAGGGCTAAATCAACGGCATCCAAAGAAACAAAAACGGAACTGACTCCAATAATGATAGTTCTAGCAGTCTTAGAGGCCACTTTCGGGCTGCCGCTTCCAATCTTTCCCACGGTGTTGGTGCTTGCTTTTAGAGCAGCTACCCCTTCGTTTGTGGCTCCTTTCAAAGATTTAGATGCAGTGTTGAATAGCGCCCCAGTTGCGGTTTCTACAACAGTTACAACTGTTGCTTCAACCCCGGCCTATCTCGGAAACGGTTTTCGTTGTTGCTTCTATAAGGATATTCAGAATAATTTCCGAACTTATTCCTAAGGTTACAAGGACATTTTGAAGTAGCTTAACGACAGTATGATTCTTCCCAAATAAAGCCACAGCTAGCTGAAAGAGGAAAGCCAGAGCTTAGTTTCCATTCATTGACTTGTTCCCCAAGTTTCCTCCTTAATTGATCGGCAATTTGCAAAGCTTCTTCGGCTTTTCGTATTTGTTTAGAGTTGACAACAGCCTCCACGGCCGCTGTGCCTAGACCTGTGCCAGCAGCAGCTACTCCAAGCAAAAACCCTACCATCAGTAAAGGGGTAGCAGCGCCAGCGGTAAAAAACGTCGCGATTCCTCCTCCAATAGTCCGCACACCTCCTAGAATACCCGCACTGTTTCCAATCGTAGACGCGATTCGACAATCACGCCATACTTTGTCCAGATAATTTGCTGCTTCATTTAAGCTCTAAGTTCCGCCTTGAGCTATTGTTCATCAGCCGCAGACTTACTTCAGTTAATCACTTGCCATTCGCCATTCACATTAGACATGGCCATTATTGATAGTTTTTTTTACTCGGGTTTTTAGATAATAATGATTGATTTTGTGGGAATGACATGTAACGGAGTGTTGTTGTGAAAGTTGGTTACTTACTCCACGCAAATGCAATCAAAACGTGGTGGATTAACAATTATTTCAGGAGCAATGATTTATTGTTGAATAATTCCGAAAGCAAGACGAAACTGTAAGATGGGAGGCAGCATTTAAAGGAAACGTCGACGCTTGCTGGCCCCACAAAAGTTGTTAATTGCGAATCTAGAGAGAGGAACCCGACTGAATTCACGGTTGGAGTTTACTCAGAATAACGATTTTTCTCCTTCAAATAAACGGGCGAAGCCGTACTGCTTTAAAAACTGGAATAAATCACTTTTCGAATTTAGAGGTATAAGGATAAGAAATTTTTAACGTATTACGATGGAAAGTGAAAATAGCTGGTTAACATGACTCATCCATCCTATGTAATTACTATCCTTGAATACTCCCAGAAAAGCACTATAATGATTATAGCGGTCCAGCAGCCAAGATCTTTATAATACCTTCCTAGAAGGGTTTGCCTTAAAATTTTTATATGGCTAGAGCAAAATATTTTCAAACTTAATTTGCTGCTCGTATCCATGACAGTCGGTGAATCCAAATTAGTGCTGGCAATAAGTTTGTTACCGGAATCGAAGTTAAATCATGATGTCAAACTTTAGTACGGCAGAAGGCGTTAGAAAGAGAAAATCATGTGGAAAAGTCATTTGCTGATGCAAAATAATCATTGGAATTGAGAGGCTATACCCTAACCAAGATTTTATATTCTCTTTGCCCTAACTTCATGCTCCGGAGAGCTGGCTGATTTCTTAATTCTTTTCCCTTGAATTCTAGATATCCACCGTGACTTGTTTATCTAGTAGATTTTTTTTCAGTGTGATAGCTAATATTTTGACAGGTTGCTAACATACAGTCGGATAGTGACAAGCATCACTGGTAAATCTGTCTTCCCTACAAACCGGTACAATGGAACACCATGAAACAAAACAAGTGGCAAAGTATCTTCCCTCTAGGTCTCAAAAATCGGTGACGAAAAGTAAAAGACCTAATTGGATCTCGGCTTCACCGATAAAAAATCTGATATTGTTTGTCTTAGCACTCTTGTCATCTTACTAAAGAATTTTATCTGAGGAATTTTTTGATGTGACTAGTTAAGGCGCTGCATAACATGGCCGTAAGGTGGGTCAGTTGTTGTCTTTTAAACAGATGGGCGGTCGAAATCGGATCGACAGGTTTGTCAAAATAAAAGGCCAGACTAAACTATATGGGTTACGAAATTCGGTCTAAAGTCTGCTCAAAACAAACTCTTCTAAAAAGGATTTGGGTAGAAATTTTCTGTTACCGTCAACCCGTCAAAAACGTAGATAGACTAAATATATTGGACTAAAACAAGAGATGTATCTGTTAAACCGTTAATAAAATATGGAAGCGTTTTACGGTTTTTTTTTTTTTTTGACCAAGAACCCAGCTTGGCTAATAAGCATTATCATAAAAGATGTTGCTACTTATGATGACAGATTTACCCAGTTAAAAAATATGAGATTTAGGGTCGAAAAAGTGTCAAAGGATCAGGAAAAAAGATCAGAAAAGCGTATCACCTGAGCATTTACCTTCCGTCATTTCTGAGAAAACTAATATGTGCATTTTGTCATTTGTCCAGCAGGTCGATTCTTTGGAATTCAGTCAACTGTGTAGCGCTGTTTATGGCTGTATTTATTGTTGATTTCGCACAAGGTCAGGACAAGACAAAATAATAGAATATATTTTCTCTTGGTGATAGTTAATACCTTTTGTAATACGAAATAGAACCAATCAATAATGTATTTGATGATGATCTGCTGGTCTCATCATGATATCATCATGATAAAGTTACAATTAAATCGTCATGCTTAGCAGAATATCTGCTCCAAAACTTTATAAAACTCAAGGCTAAGTCATATTTCCCAAGCCAGCAGTGAGGTCCCGTGTCAAACATCATCAAGGAAGAAAATAACAACAATGCTGGTGAGGAAAGCGCATCCAGCCATGTCATTAATCTCGGATGTAAAGCGCAGTGAAAAATTAGACTGTGGGCTCAGTCAATTACATGATGGAAAAATTTAAGCTTCATAGTCACCTTCTAAATGACATTATTCAAAAAATGAGAAGCCTGACTATTAAGACGAATGAAGATTTGCAATCTGAGGTCAGTAAGGATTGACCAGTTCCTAAGTTTGGATATTTGGTAACGTTTGCGTCTCGCCGTTCTGAACTCTCTTTGTCCTATACAGTTTGTACCACAACTCCGCGTCGATTTGAGCGTGTCTTTTAAATTGGGTTACACCGCTGGATTTTGTACCCCGGTGACGGAATACGCTTCAGATAGATAATTTCTTTAAAATGTCGATCAATCGATTTCAAGAGAACCTAAAACTATTTTCTCGCAAACCAAAATAAAATCTTTTGATTTGCAAGCGATTGTGAAGGATTTGATTTTGAAAATGGGGTCGAGGCATTATCTACCTGGAAAAAAACCGGACACGCCTTTGATAACCAACCAACATACAAGGATAACCCCCTGATACGAGACCAGGGAGGTACAAGGTGAATGGTGGATAGCAACATTTGAAAACAAATCCAATCCACTTCTGATGGGTGATTACCCCATCGGCACTCTTACCTCACCAAGCTTTCGTATCAAAGGTTCTAATATAGACTTTCAACTCGGTGTTGGATGCAACGCAGGAAAAATACGGGTGGAACCTCTGGTGAACGGGAAAGTTCAACGCACAGGTTTTCCTGACAACTGCCGTGATCACATGCGAAGAAAGTTCCGGAATGTAGCCCAATTCAATAACAAAATTGGTC